TATACCATGATAAACTAGCCACATTTGACTGATATCCCTTTATTAGCTGAGTATATCAGTCAGGTTAGTCATTATTTATTATATACTATGATAAACTATCCACATTTGACTAATATCCCTTCATTAGCCGAGTGTACCAGTCAGGTTCGTCATTATTTATTATATACTATGATAAACTAACCACATTTGACTGATATCCCTTCATTAGCAGAGTATATCAGTCAGGTTAGTCAGTATTTATTATATACCATGATAAACTAACCACATTTGACTGATATCCCTTTATAAGCTGTGTATATCAGTCAGGTTAGTCAGTATTTATTATATACCATGATAAACTAACTACATTTGACTGATATCCCTTTATAAGCTGTGTATATCAGTCAGGTTAGTCATTATTTATTATATACTATGATAAACTAACCACATTTGACTGATATCCCTTTATTAGCTGTGTATATCAGTCAGGTCAGTCAGTATTTATTATATACTATGATAAACTAACCACATTTGACTGATATCCCTTCATTAGCTGCGTATATCAGTCAGGTCAGTCATTATTTATTATATACTATGATAAACTAACCACATTTGACTGATATCCCTTCATTAGCAGAGTATATCAGTCAGGTTAGTCAGTATTTATTATATACCATGATAAACTAACTACATTTGACTGATATCCCTTTATAAGCTGTGTATATCAGTCAGGTTAGTCATTATTTATTATATACTATGATAAACTAACCACATTTGACTGATATCCCTTTATTAGCTGAGTATATCAGTCAGGTTAGTCAGTATTTATTATATACTATGATAAACTAACCACATTTAACTGATATCCCTTCATAAGCAGAGTATATCAGTCAGGTTAGTCAGTATTTATTATATACTATGATAAACTTACCACATTTGACTGATATCCCTTTATTAGCTGAGTATATCAGTCAGGTTAGTCAGTATTTAGTATATACTATGATAAACTAACCACATTTGACTGATATCCCTTCATAACTGAGTATATCAGTCAGGTTAGTCAGTATTTATTATATACTATGATAAACTTACCACATTTGACTGATATCCCTTCATAACAGAGTATATCAGTCAGGTTAGTCAGTATTTATTATATACCATGATAAACTAACTACATTTGACTGATATCCCTTTATAAGCTGTGTATATCAGTCAGGTTAGTCATTATTTATTATATACTATGATAAACTAACCACATTTGACTGATATCCCTTTATTAGCTGTGTATATCAGTCAGGTCAGTCAGTATTTATTATATACTATGATAAACTAACCACATTTAACTGATATCCCTTCATAACAGAGTATATCAGTCAGGTTAGTCAGTATTTATTATATACTATGATAAACTTACCACATTTGACTGATATCCCTTCATTAGCCGAGTGTATCAGTTAGTCAGTTTTTATTAAACAGAAATAACCTTTCACTGGCTGCCAGAGCAACTTTGGTTTCCCGATTATCTTTATGAACTTAAGTCCACTTAGATAATAATCTTAAATGATTGTTAATCTTAAATGATTGTTAATCTTAAATGTACACCAAAACTTAAAATTTAATATTTCTATGCCTCATTTGATCAAGTTAAAATCAGGGTCAAAAATGGTAGTTATTTTGAAACTTTTTTCTTTTTTTCGTATATTTTGTTGTCAGCTAATTTACAAAGAAATCACTGTTCTTAAACTATCAATAAGTATGTTTAGGATGTTATAAAAGTTATTGTGACAATCATAGTATAATAGACACTGAAATTCAGTGTTAGAAATAGAGTATATCTTCAGTTCAGCTCTGGAATATGACAATCTGGTGATATTTGTGTCTATCAAATCTTCAAAATAATATTGGTTACTTTATTTATTTTCTACTAGGTGATAGAGTTAAGAAGGTCAGAAGCTAAGACAATGTTACCAGACTTTGCTTTCAATAGAACAAATCGTCCTAACAGGTATATATTTCATTATTTTACTAGCTTATTTTCAATACTTCATTCAAAATGTTCTATGTCTCTTTTCATTATGCAATTTTATTTGCAACCATACAAAGGTAATTTTATCAGAAGTCACTGCTTAACTTTAAATGTTTTCTATGCTGTGGCCTTTTCAAGTCAATCTGAGTTATTTTATGTTGCTTTTTAAAAGTTAAAAATCCTGTTCTCAAGTAGCCTTATTTTGTGTTTTGGTTTCTTTGAAATGTTTAAAATTTAAACAACAATTTTGACAACATGATTCAATTGAAGATTATGGCATATTTGGCCTAAATTAACTCAAAACAATCGATTGCTAAGAATATTAAAGCTTCATTAAGTCCACTGAATATCCACTATTTGTGCAAAGGTTGAGAACTCTTTGCATTAACTGTGGCACAGTGCTGTTTTCTTTGACCAAAATGTTCAGCTCTATCTCACTGTCCTAGATTTATAAAACTTGATATCGGCTATTTATTTCTCACTAAATGTTTCTATACTAGTAGTTTAAATGATTTGGAATTTCCTACTGAGTAAGTAAAGTATTTCCTTTGTTCACTGTTGGCCTACTTCCTTTCACCATTGTATTCTATTATTGGCATGACATTATTGTGGCATTGCTACATTGTTTTCAGTCATTCATTTTGTATGGTTAAGTTTCTATTCTCTAAGAGTAGCATATTTTGTACATAATTTAAATCTTAGATATATTCTGCTCACTTAACGTGGGTTTTAATTAATTCTGCTTTTATCTTATTTTGTAACAATATGTGCTTCTGATTAGTAAAACTGATGACAGAATTTTGTCATGTTTTGCATGAATTATATTCTAATCATTTCTTAAATTTATTTTCATGTTCGGGTTTAAATTTGTTAGTTTTTGAATGGTAGCACATTCTCAATGTTTGACTAGACTTGGTTATCAATATGTAAGAGAGTTGCCTAAGAACAGTTTGTGGATGTTGATTTTATTATTTTCAGTGAAGATGATTCTGATGACAGGTACCTCTATTTTAAACAAGGGCCCTGATTCTCAAAACTTCTTCAAAAATTTGTCATGAAATTAATTATATTTTCAATATTATACAACATTTCTAGAAACAGGGCCCAGACTCAAGCTTTAAAATGATAAATTAATATCAGCCTGTAGGTAAAAGGGAAGGCTTGATTTAACAAACGCTGCTATATTTAACCCTTTTTGGCCTTAAAATAATTCCACATTATACACAGACCCGTAGATACAGGGGTTTAAAACAAGGCCTCCCCAAAACATGGGTTTCCCCCTGACAACCAACCAATTCCATTACTGCAACTACACATAAAAACACCATAACCCCACTGTCCCTCTGGCCCATATATTACTTGTTCCTTCAACCAATCAAGACTGAATATGGGCCAGATTAAACACCAATATCAACCTTTGACCCATTCAGCCTCACATTAAAGTAAATTGAAATTTCAAAGAGGTTTGCTATTCTTTCCATACACTTTCAAACAACTACTTCCACTAACTATCAGAGTCTATGTATATGATATAAAAATGAAATTAAGTTAGAAATAATGTTTTAGAAAGCATCTAATTAAAAATACCAAGATTTTACCTTATTGTGACTTAAAGTTATTAAAACAGGACATGTAGATTTTGGGAATATAGATTCTATTATTAGCAATTTCAGATAAACAAACTTAAAATGTGAGCAAAAGACTAATTTGAATTTTGTCAGTCAAGCTTGTTCTATAGGTCTATACTTTGATTTATAATTTGTCATGGACAAAATGGAAAAAAATTTTATCGAATGCTTGTATTGCTTCAATGCTTATATACTATATGTTGTGTAAATGTCAAGGTATTGGTATAGTATATAAAGTCTGAATTCAGATCTTTTCTTAAAGATAATTTGATAATAGTAATGATTGAACAAGATTCTGATATTTTAGTGCTTAAAATGTCAAAGAGCTAACTTCCATATATCATTTCTGACAATTGTAATAGTGAAAATTAATAATTTTTCTATTTCATGAAAATAAAATTAGTGCCATGTTGCCATGGATAATGATATAAAGATGAAGACTTTATATATAATTGTACATATAGGTTCACAGGATATTGTTTTAATGTTCCAAAGAGTTGATTGAGCTGTTGATATATATAAAACTCTGTATAATACAATAACAGCATAATACATCTATTATATTGTAGTTACCGCCATGATGTTATTAAAGAACAGTATTTATTTGATCAGAATAAAATAGCAGAATGTTTCTCGAATAGTGGACACGATACAATACGATTATCATCATCATTTATACAGAAACCATATAGTGCAGGTTAGTTCAATTATCATGTCTTTTCAGTAGAAACCTGGTTCACAACATAATAACACTCATTTGAGGTAGCTTCTCACACTGCAGGGAGTACTTTGGAATGGCATTAAAAATATAGATATCAGCAAGTGATTAAAACATATCCACTGTTTTGTGGATCTTATTTTGGATGCTGCAGTAAATGAGCTGTCAAGTGTTACAAAATGGGGAATAAAAGACATGTACAAAAGGAAGAGAACCTTTACACTTCACAGATCATGACTTCAATGTGAGAGAGAAACGTGAGTGGAAATCTACAGCGCTCAAAACAGAAAATGAAAAGGTTTTATTGTTAATCTTGGATATAGTAGGTGATTGTTTTGATATGTTGTATATTGTATATTTTGTATATTTTGTATATTTTATAGAAGTTGATATGTCTAGAAGTGTTAGTGATATACAATCTATCAATATAGATGTTGATAGTTTAGATGGCTCTCCATCATGTAACAGGGTAAGTTCCCTACTTTTGTATATCTGGAATTTCTGATGGACGTGTGTTTTGGTTATTTTGAAAATTGGCATCATATCATTAAAATTTTAGTAAGAGACAATATTTAACAACAATATATTCATTTAATCAGTGGATGGACCTCAATATTAAGGCTCTTCAAAGGATAATCCTTATTTTGGATTTATTTCTAGAAAATCATATAGATACATGTAGTTCAGTTTAAATTCCTATGTATTTTAATTTTCTATGTAGAAATATAATGAAGAGATAACAGTTGAGTCATTGAAACAAATGTTAGGTATGTTGATCTTTGGTATTATTTGGTATCAATGTAGACAAATTTGAGGCCATTTGATATTGTCTAAATCATGTGCTTAAATGTGCTTTCCAGTCGCAGCAACACAGCAATTTAGAGTTTCTCTTGAGTTTTTTTCAATGGTTGTATATTATTGTGTGAAGGTACATGGTTTTAGTGAATCTAATAAATGACTATTTCAGCTGAAGATAACATTGTTAATAAAGAATTAGAAGATAAGAAAAGATTAGAAATATTAGAAACATTTAGATCAGCTCCATTTGAAGAAATAGTGGCTAGATCGGAAGCTAAGGTAAACTTACTTCATTTTCATTACAACTTTACTTTAATAAGGAATGTGCTCAGGGAATCCTTGTTGTTCTATACAACTCTGCTTCACTTTTAAAAACTGTATGTGTCTTCATCCTGTGCATGTCATTAAAAATGTTATATATGAAAACTAGTGTGAATTGTGAAAAAAAATCTTTGATATCCCTGTACAAACATCAAAATAAATCAAACAGAAATAAAAATTTACACAAAGCAGGCAATTTACTTGTTTTTGTCATTTCAGTCAAATCATTTCCACAATAAATTAAATGAGATATTAGATATGGTAGTAGATCCAGTAGAAGCTAGTGAAGATGATGTTAATAATGCTACTGTACCAGTTTATCAAATGACTTATCCTGATTTATTTGTTTATTGAAACAGTGAGCCTGTTTTAATGACCTGCTACATACAAATTCTCTGGGTGAACTGGTCAGTAGTTTTGTGGAGCATATATAGTTATGAAGTACTCTCTGTGGCTCCCCAAAAAATTCAACAAACTTTAAACATATGACTCTTCAACATTGACGAGGAATTTCTATTTATACAATAAGGGACACAACTTCTTAGCAAAGTGACTTAATACACTGTCTACTTCCTCTGAAGAATTACATGAAACAGTCCAGCCTCAAATAGTCTGTGGCTAACCATATATCTAGGTATGAAGAAGGCTAAAATGAAGCACTCTAATTCAACCCTTTCCATTCACATTTAATTTAATTCACATTCTTTGACTAGTTCTTTTTTACAATTGCATAGTGGCAAAGTAATTGATGGTTTTAATATGACATACATATTTATGAAAGATATTTCAAACTGTAAGTTCATTATGAAGACCATTTTTCAGATTTTATTTGAGAAATTTATTGATTGCAATATTTTGTTGTTTTCATGATTTTCTAGTCTTGATTTATCTATTCTGCTCTTATTTAAAATGATACACTTACTTTGTCTCATTGAAAGAAAAGAAAATTTATGAGTTTTTGATTTGTGATATTTTGTGTAGAAAATGTTATTAAATGACTTTTCTACCACCTAAAAATAATTGTGTAGTTGCAATGTTCATTGAACTTTATATTGAAATGAGTCCTGAAAAGCATAAACAAAGAATTATTTGATGTTTGTTACTTTTTTGTTAATTTGAGACAAAGTGAGCATGTCCCTTTAAATTATTTTGTCATAGCATTACTATTATTCTGCAACATTGTTATTGCTAATGTTCATTATCATATAGTTTGAATTTTCTATTTAATTTCAAGCTAATGTGTATTTGCATTATACTAAAACTAATAAGTTTATGTTTATATATTGTGTTTAGTATGAGGCTAGTGTTAATTTATTCTTTCATTCATTCATTCCATCTGCAATCATGAAAATATTTTTAATGTTATTTATATTATCAATTACATGTATTATTTATTTTAAAGGCACTTTATGTCATGTTTTGTATATTATAACATATTTTATTTGTAAATGAACTGAAATTGTCATGTCATGAGAATCTTTAACTGTAAATACCAGTATTTCACAGAAAATTGTGGACTTAACCAAACACATGAATACATTTGTCACTAAATGTTTTTGAAATTCTGCTTATTTTCGAAATTTTATAAATACAACTTTTTATTCAAATTCAGGTATTTTAAATAATTAAAATGCTTTTGATTTTCAAATATCCCACCTGAAAAATTTTTTGCCAATTAGAATTTATTGCAATTTGCTTCATTAGTTTTATCCATGAATTTTGAAACCTAGTGTTGCTGGGTAAATATTCATCACAAAGCATCCCTTTATAGTGATTGAAATGGTTGAGTATGTATAAAGGTGTCCTCACACCATAGTGATAACCAGTCATGTATGGTTGCGAATAATGAGTACCAACCAAAACTCACAGCTCATTACTTGAGAGTTGCCTGGAAACTTTATGACAGCTATTCTTATTTGCAACCATACACAACTGATTATCGCAATTGATTTAAGGGCCCCTCAAATTCCAGCAGATATATTTGTGTACATCTGGAATAATTAATAAACACAAGCAGTTCCTCTTGCCGTTTTTAATTGAAGAGGGTAGTGAACACAATCTGTATAGTTTCAATTACTATTTATTTTACCTAAAGATTATGTTACCTGCTTGCTCTATTTATTTTTTCAAATGTTTGGTCTCCTATGAGCTCAGAAGCTATAAATGAAGTATTTAATGTTTGAAGGTCTAACTTTTCTGATGACAAAATTTTCTCGGCTTGTGAGAGTATATTTTTTACAGATGAAAAAATTATCTTTCATCAAAAGCAAAGTCATGAATTATGAATGTAAACAATCTACATAATGAAATAATTACTGTATATGGTATTGAATTCGACATACAACTGTATAGATTGTTGAAAATGTGAAAAATATATAAATAAAAGTACTGTTATGGTAGATATAGGGTAAACTTGTTAATAAATATATTACAACATCTATGATGATCTTGAACGTGTAATAGGCCCATAGCTAGACTTGATTGTTCAAAAGGGCAATGGAGTGTGGTGTTTAGTTGCAGCAATGAAATTGTTGTCAGAATTTTTTCAGCCCCCCCGTAGCTGCCGGCTTCGAATCATATTTGATTGGAAACAGATTTCTCCACAAATTCCAGACAATGTTGCAAATGAATTTTGCAGCAGAAAGAGAAATTAAATCACATCATCAAAAGTTGTAGAAACAATTATAAATTGATAATATCCCGCATGCATGCCTAAAGGCGTGAAAACACGTGCAGCTTTATGGGTTATACATGTAACCATTTAAATGTGACAAATCAAAACGACGGTAGAAGTGTCTAACTTCCTAATATCTGGAATCAACACAGAACCTTTCTTACCCATCCTTTTTACTAACTATGTCCGTAGGTAAATACCAAGCAAAGTGCTACTACATGATATGTCAAATTCTTGGTATCATGAAGTCTAGTTTAGAGCATACCCCTGATTTCTGACATATCAAAGTTGTATCTGGAGGTCTAATAATCATGATCATGAAACAAATGAGGAACATGCTTCTCTCTAAAAGTTATGACTGATTAGTTTATCGACAAGATCTTTTTGTACAATATCTAATGTGATTAATATCTCATTATATCCTGTGGATTGTTAATCAATCTCAACCGTACATTTGTCAATATTCGAGTTCTGGTACCTAGGTACTCGAAGCGTATTATTAAAAAAAATGATTGGTATATATGACGTGAAATTTTAATAATTTTCTGAAGTGAAGTAGTGTGTTATTCCACTACGAGAGTCTACTGCGTATGGGCCTCTCAATGATCCAGTCTTCCTGAAGCGCACAACCAACTTCAACAATAAAAAGGATTAGAAACAAAAACAAATGCATGAAGGTTGTAAAAAAGTTTGTCTGGAAAAGCGTACTTTTCAGAATGACTTCCCAGACACATGTTTCATGTATCGGGCCACTAAGTCGCCTATGGTGTCGTTGTAAAGTTTGTTAATGGTTCACGCCGCCTCTCCCCGACCTTTTTTTATAACAGATTTAAATGATGAAGGTATAAACCTTCTTATCATATTACAAATAACAAATACAATGCATGAAGGTCGTAAAAAAATTGTGTGCATCCATTTGTCGTTGTAAAGTTTCATCACATTTGCTACTGGTTTCAGGCAGGGACGAAGAAAGGGAATGAATTGTCTGAGCCACATATTTGAATGATTGTTCAACAACAAAACTATTATTTCGAATTTTCCTACCAAATGATAATTGTGTACTGCAAGTTTGGTTGTGGCGAAAAAAAAAACACCAACTCGCCAGATAAAATGTAAACAAAACCAGGCAATTTATTAACTCAAAATCCTATTAAATCTGCATCAGTAACATGCGACGTAATATTCTCAGTAATGACTTGTTAATAAAATATTAATCAAAACGAGCTGCAATGTTTTCATCAGAGTCAGTAGCTGGAAATGTGGTATGAGTAAAACTCCACGAGAGAGAAAATACAAGTGAATTGAATTGCCGATATTTTGATTTATGCAGCACTCAATCCTATCTAGTCTTAGCTGTATCAAAACCTCGTTTTCCTCGTAGATTCTATTAAATTAGTCTCAAGTTGCACCAAGTATTCTATTTCTATTAGCCTGATATATTTATCTATCTATTGTTTAATAATATTCTATGAAGTACGGTCTGGTGCATGCCAATCTTAGTAATTTTATACTTACCAGCCTTGAGGTATCTCAAATATGATAACAAAGTGTAGAAAAGTAATTTAAAAGGCAATACCGCACATCATTAGCCAAAAGGGTTGTAGGCAATCAGGCAACCTGTTAGTTATGCGTCATTCTGATCATATTTCAATGAAATATCATCAACAGAAATATGACGATTTTATCAAAAGAAAGCAGATATATTTTTAATCTGATTATAAATGCAAATGTAGATGTTTCGTTTCGTAATCTTTCTGTAAGTGACTCAAATGCAACTCATCATCTGTCGATATTGTTATGCATCCCATTCAACCGAATGCTCTGTTGAAGTATGAAATCTTTCATTGTATAATCAATGAAAACAGATCATGGATTGCAAGTGTAATAACTTGCTTAAACAACGCACAACGAAACATCCAGATTTGATTTTTCAGATGAATCAAATTGATAAATATTGAAATTTTCAAAGTGAAAAAAATGTTGTTTATCCAATTGTTTTCATTAAAACATGTTTTTGGTTTATATACCCCTTGCGCATAAAATATGTTAAGGTCCTTTTATATTCCCCAAAAGATGAATAAAAACTAAAGGCAAAGTATATATAATTCTTATACCATAAACAGTTGTTTATTCTTAAATACATTCGCTTTAAATAAATTGATGTCTTTTGATTCACAACTTGGTCTTCTTAAGTCAGAGAAAAATCGTATCATTCTTAATCATGAAAGAAAAATACATTGTGATGAACGAGTTAAAACATAGGAGTAGCGATCCCAAAAGTTAAAAGTTAGATATCGGTAGTGATTTATCATAATGAAATAAAGACAGGAATCAATAGAAAAACAATAGAATGAACCCATTATACACTGATCAGCTCTCATTCTCAATTCTACAAAAACTACTTTTAATCAACGCCATTGCACATTATCTAGGCCGTATAAAATACTGCACAGTTTTTAATTTTTAATCTTCCTCTTTTATTCATCTGGCAATTTTCACTTCAGCTACATGAAACCAGACATTCCACCATACCGTTAATGTATTTAAAATATTACATCACTTGCATTTAATGTGTTCATCTAACACCTCTCTGTCCGGTAAACGAGAATGTAGAATATTTACGAATAGCGATTTACCAAACGCCAGTTCGCTAACCTCGATTCGAGCTAGGTCGAGATGATACCTTCGTATTTCCCGCTGTCAGTGATGCAGAATGAAGGGGGTTGACACGGAGAAAGCATCTAGCCGTTCCGATGATGGGACATTAACAACGAGACCCTACAGACTGTGCACGTTAAAGATGCATCGATAGGGCTAATTCCACGGAACACGGAACACAGTATCGCGTTGTCCGTCTTCATTAGCCCATTAAGTTACAGAAGAAAAGGACGTAAAAGTCCATTGATTTCATTTTGTCAAGATAAACTGTCAGTAGTCAATGTAGCCCATATAGTAATATAGCTTCTACAGTGAAATAAGGATTATACATTGGAATTCAAATCCGATTAATAGAACCTCATTACATCTGGGTTACATTCCCTTCCTGGTTATAGAGGAACTAGCTTAGACAAAGATGTATTGTATTGAAACAAAGAGCCAGTTTCTATCTAAAGAAGCCGCTATGGTTAAACAGTCCGAATGCAGTGTATATCCAATGAAGCACTTTACCTTCAGCTACGATTTACCACAACAGTTCCAGCTTAGAACTATACAATTCGTCCAAAATTAGAGATAAGGTTTTCAAAATCAGTAGACAGTTTTACAATACTTCTTAGGAAATCAGTAAATACTTTATATCTGTCAATTTCTTTAATTCTAGCATGCTGCAAGAGATTAAATTTTATTATATCATATTTTATCTTGCAAACCGTTTGAATTGTATTTAATTCTTCTTCACTGGTTCAAAGAGCTAATAGATTTTATTGGTTTTAAATTCAATGTACATCTACAGCCACGTTCCTTAATTCAAGCTCTAATCTTCTTTTCTTTTTTAAACCATTTTTTTTTTTTGCATCTGCAGATATTGATATGAGTGGAGAACAGGTGTTAAACCACATTTCAAAGTTTTATGACCTAATCACACAATTAATTACACAATCAAAAATCATTCATAATAGGCCCATAAAGATTTCCGATCATGAGATATACTCTTACGTCATTTGGATCATGGGATACTCTCACGTTATTTGGATCATGAGATCACATACTCTCACGTTAATTGGATAAGATATACTCTTACGTTATTTGGATCATGGGATACTCTTACTTTATTTGGATCATGGGATACTCTCACGTTATTTGGATCATGAGATCACATACTCTCACGTTAATTGGATAAGATATACTCTTACGTTATTTGGATCATGGGATACTCTTACTTTATTTGGATCATGAACACTCTCACGTTATTTGGACCATGAAATACTCTCACGTTACTGGGATCATGAGTTTCTCTTACGTTATTTAGGATCATGAGAGACTCGTTTGTTGTTGGGTAATGACATAATGCTGGAGCACCCCTACGTTATTTTGGCTTGATATGATAGAACACAGTTTTTCGCTAATATGCCAAGAGAAAAAAAAACGGTTCCAGAACCCTTACGTTATTGTGACACGAGAGGACGAATGCCCTTGATCGCACACCTACCCTGGCCATTTATTTCCATATACAATTATCCAAGATGGCTATGGACTAATTTCATGTCTACCTTATTCATTTCGTCGGCTTGTGGACTTTGCATTGCAATATGGAATCGTTCATGCCAGGTTTCTCCTGTCGAAAACTTGCTTACATGATCCAATCTGTTTTGTTCATTGGCCGATTGTACGCCTGCTAACTAAATCATTTGTCTATACACTATTGATATAAACCTATAGCCTTCAATATGTTTAGTTTAGTTGGTTTCATACGTATACCTACTCGGTGGAACAATAACTTGTTTTCTAAACGATTCAATATAAGATTATCAAACCATATCGTGCAGGACAAAACCTCTATTATTGGTAACATTTTATTATTTCAAATGGCCTAACAAACAAAGTGAATGCCGTAAAAGGGAAAGTGACAATAATTGAATCAAAAAGAACAGCGGTATTGAGAAAAATAGGCTAGTTATTTACAGCGCAATTGATTACTGTTGAAAATTTACTAGAATGTCATATCTTAAAGTTCTGTAGTTTATTCGAGAGTGAAGAGTGTTTATCCAGTTTTAAAAATTCTAAAGAATGTGACTTGGATGATTTGAAGTAGAGCGATTCCAATATTTCAAAAACCCAGGAGATATAGCGGTTGTAGAGATAAGTGATAGAACGACACTGTATTGTGTTAAAAGGATTGTATTTTGATATGGAGAATGTTATGTTGTAAAATTCCATCAACTGGATGTTTTGATGTTTACTGGATGTATTATAAACACTGATATCCACTAACACGTTGACTAAAATGTATATTTTTGTATATGAAGTCAAATTTGAAAAAAAAGTATTTGTATATTAACAATTATATTCATCTTTCTGGGTGTATTTTCAAATGATTCAAGGAAGTGGATGTCAGGCATGAAATATAAGAGATCTTGTTTCTATATCGCTCTACAATTGATGTATTGAGCACTATTTTAACAGTGAGGATTTTTGTTAGGTATTGTTTCATATAGGAGCCAAGTCTAAAGGATAGTGTGCCTGTAAGGAATAGGTTTATAATTCCAATTGGTTTTCCTATAAGGAATAATTGTGTTAATAAAGAAAGTTAGAAGACTTGTGTCTGGTCAGTATTGGTTCCACTATTGACGTGTGTTAATGGTTACAATCAGGAATTCAATGTTAAAAAAAACTGATTAGTGTGACCTTATATTAGAGAGTTTTCTTTCTCCAGAGTGTCTGTTTGTCAGTGGAACTCATTAAAATGATAAATTAAAAGTAGAATGTATACCATGTTACAGTATTGGACTGGGGTTGTTGTTTGGATGTTTCTAGCTCATCTTGGTGAAACTCGAGGTAAAGTATGCACATTTAGGTATTATTTATCAATAAACACTCTGAAGAAGTTTTTGGTAGGTTATTTATCTTATCCCTATCTTCACAATGTAAGCTATTACGAACTTCGTACATATACCTTGATTGCAAAAGCTAATTTTCTTGTATCACGTAACGTGAAAGAAGAAATGTGATTGGATTGTACGTTAGCGAATACAACCAATCAGAAGCCTCGACAGACAGTCTGTAATTACAAAGTCGTAATGTTTACAGCCTTTCTGCAGGGACCTCTGATTGGCTGTATTCCTTATTACAAGATGAATATTGCTATACGTAAAAACTTTCAACGGTATTTTCACTCTTTCTTAGCTGATTTTTACTTTGGTGCTCTCTGATGCAAGACTGGTATAACTAGAATCATTTATCAGGATATGGTACCCAATATGTTTGACCAGTTGAAGGTATAAGGTATCTGGAAGATGCTATCCTATAGAATCACTGGCTAGGTCACAAGAAAAGACCTTGTATTTACTCCCGTCTACATTGTGTTTAGAGAAATGAATTAAAAGTAACTTCTGACAAGATTTACAAGATAAAAAACCCCAATGAATTCAAATTGAACATTGTAACTAATTCGTTTCGTCAGGTAGTTAATGGTTCGGTCTGCCGTGGACAAGGAAATAATGAAGAAATTTATCATCAGAATAAGTGACCAAACGTTTCATAAAGCTATTCTTGAAGTTCTGTGTAATGCGTTTGGTACAACTTGGCGAAAGGTCAGGCAAAGACTATAAAAGACCAATAAAAAATCCAGAAACAACTAAATAGAAAAGTGAATAATGAAATGATGAGAGAATGAGTGAATTAACATCTCGACAACATTATATTTTAACACTACTAGTACTGTCTTGTATTTATTACTCTTTAAATATTTATAACTGTTTCAGCAGGAGTTAATGTCACGCTATATCATAATTATATTTAAATTTATCAAAAGGTAATCGCCAGATCTTATTAGACTTGCTAGAAGAAATAGATAGTCATTGAGTTTGCAAATTTTCGTGGTCGCTAATGCGATTTCTTGGGTAAAAATTGGGTCCAATACACTAAGGTGGTCTTGTATGTATCTTCTTTCTTGTCTCATTTAATGCAAAATTGTCACTTGATATATCTCGCAATTTCGCTTGGCATTTGTCAATAGAAAAAATATCATTCCGTGTTACATATCATCTCTTATGTGAACTATTTGACAGATTAAAACTAAAGACTGCTGAACGATTAACCATTGGTACTGAAACTTGCCTAACTGAAACCCAAACTCATTTATGTCTCAATGGAACACCAAGAATATCAGTTGACTTTCGTGCAGATGATCACGATTGTCTGTTCTGTAAAAACAATAAACATATATGACTCTCGGAAAAAGGTATATATGTAACATAATTATCTAAAACTATGACAGAAATATTTCTTTTATTTCTATTCCGGGTAATTTGTCGTAACTTTAACTCATATTCGCGTTTACTGTAGACACTGAAATGAATCTAGTCGCCGTTTGATGGATGTGAAACTACTTCTTCACCAGACAGTTATGAAAGGCCATGGTGGCGGGTTATGTTATTTTTCTTGTACAACTACTGAAATTGTATTTCAAGGTGTTTACAGCCGTGGTACCACTTCAGTTTCAGTTTTCATAACTCTGCATATAAAATGTACTACTGTATCAGAAATAAGCGTTTGCATATATAATTGGAATATAGTGTCAAACTGAATGACATGTTCTGACACATAGTATTTTCGATCATTTCCTATGAGATTCAGAAAGAGCTTATCCCGCATTTTATGAGTCGAAGCATGGAACATACAGAGCCTAATCTTAGAGGACTTCTGAAGGATATCTGAACCCCAAATTTAGCAGGCATTATATTTGGACGTTTCTTTCAAAACATTCCTATAAATCATCATAATTATCTGTTATGGATAAGTTTATTACGTGACATTCTGACTTTAATATCAATGTTAATGATTTATTATTAATAATGATGATTGATCATCGGATATCATTTAAAAATTCAATATCATACACTGAAGTTGATCATTTATCGTATCAAATAAAAACTTTCTATAGCACCGTTATGATTCATTTCATATGGACAGGGTTTGTGAATCTCCATTTAATCTTATGAATAAATAAAATGCAAGATCGCTTTGATGGTTTGTAGACAATAACAAAAAGATATCAATGGCCAAGATAAGGTTTATTCCCAGGTGAAATCTACCAAGTTTAAATAAATACCGGTATATATAAAATTATTCTCTAGAACGACGATCAAAGGTTATTTTAACATTATTATTATTCTGAGTTGACATCAAGATAATGCTGTAAACCATAGATACTAAGAGGTGCACACAGGTCGACTTTGTAACTGTCGGGATCGAAGAAGAACAGGATATGTAACGATTCCTTGAAGCTGGTGGCATCTTGGAGAATCCAATCAATCACTGGATTTAATCGACCTTAACGCACTGTCGACTGAAAAATGAATTTTGCTATCAATTGCCCACATTCTACTTCCTAGCAAATATTCAAGAATATCCAGTTGGTCTATCGATGAGCATGTCGCATGATAACTTCAATAGGTCTGACCATTCAAAAGCTCTGAATCGCTATTGGACATTCTAGCTCACGTCAGAATAGAATCTACCCGTAACCGTTCTGAAAATTAGATTGAATAACAGAGAATGAGCAACAGTTCTGATAAATTGTTAACCGAACAGATAAAGGTCGTAGTAATCTGTTAGTATAACTAATAAGGATAGCAGTTCTGCATACATTTAATTTGTTTTCAGTTCCAAATAAGTTGTTAGTATAGCTAATAAGGAAAGTACGTCTAAATAATTTGTTGGTTCAATTGGTAATTTGGTAAGAGACACTTGTCATGACTATATGTCTGGTTCTCTAATGCGATCAAACTGCTTTAAGAAAATTCCAAACATATTGATCATGTATACAGACTGAAATTTTAAAAATCATTCATCACATCTATGTCTAGAACAGAAACAAGATTATTACTTTTATACTTAATAATATATATAGATTTGAGTTTCGTGTTTGTCCAGAAGAATAACAAATATACTGGTGTATTTTTTCAATAAAAATACAGGCACCTAATCTTAATACATGGTATAATATGACTGTGTCTGACAATATATGCACGTAATGAATTGGGTGTTATTGGACATAATCTCTTATCGGTTCTCTTATGAATTCAATCTAGTAGGTGATATGTTAGGACCAAGCCCTGTTACAAGAACCATAAAGAGAACATTAGTTTTCATTCAGCCTTGGACGTACAGTCAACGCATCAATCAGTAAAGTTTTGAGAGGACCAACCCAGTTCACAACCAGGTAACATCCCTATAGTAAGGTCATGCCTTCGTCAGTGAAAAAATTCAGTTTCTAATATTTTCACATGACCATTTAAAATATTTATTGAATGGTAACTAGCACGACGACTGTAGCATTTAGAAAAGATAAATTATTCAAGTCTATATATTCTTTTGTAGATTGCCCTGGCTCTAGATTTGGTTCAGAGTGTAAATTTCGATGTCATTGTAAAGATCAAGCATCATGTAATGTTAAAGATGGTGGTTGTCCTGCAGGCTGTGATGCTGGTTGGTCTGGTACAGCTTGTCAAAGGCGTAAGTACGAGAATGGAAAATGTCTATGCCCCTTGATTTATCATTTTATCTTGAGAGGACTGCCAGAGAAGGAATTCATAGGTATATTGATGTCTTCAAACATAAACGACAGTGTTCACAATAGCCACTTGACAGCTAATAATGACAAATCTCTAAAAGATAAGGCTTCTATATTTTGAAGTAAGTTACTTTTGCAGCTAGGCTGGTCCCTTTAAGCTCCTGCACTGTCAGGGAATGGTCATTATACTTATACATTCTTCATCAATGCACCAGATTCGAAAACATATAGCTTACACAATGTAATTTATGACCATGATATAACAACAGTTGCCTATAATTAGTTTGTGGTCGATTTTTCCTATATTCTATATTACAATATATATAAGGGTCTTGAGGGCTTCAATCCTTAATAAATCATCGCTGTATAAAAAGATTACAGAAAATTTGAATTAAAGAAGAAGATTTATGAAAGATAAATATATTGTGAAATTAAAACTGTAACTAGATTGCATTCTTGGTTTGATCAAGATGTTTGCTAGTAAATTGATTCTAACACCAGAAAGTATTGAAAGCCACCCGGTTTATTAGTCTTGAGCTTCTTTATTATATTGATTGTACTGAAATTGTATTATTGGAACATGGTTTTTGTCGCCATATTTCTAATATTTTCACACTATTAATTTTATTGCGAAATAAAAATATTATTTATATCTAATATTGGAAATGTGCAATCGCTAATGGATACCAGAAAGACAACTATATGTACATTGCAATTATCTTCGTGTTATTAGCTCCATCATCTTAAAAGAATTAAATCAAATTCTGCTGTGAATGTAATATCATTATTTTCAAATCTTTCTGGGTAGTTATTGATCGATGTAAGGATGCTTAATGAGCCATTAACATTCCATTGTCCTCCTACATGACCTTAAAGCCATTTTCTGTGGTTTTTCTGAACATTTTGTGCAGCAAAAAGAAAGTGAGGGTAGGTCAACGTGATCCATGGCCATGGTCATCTTCATCAGATGGTTTTCAAGACCCGACGACTACCTTTTCCCATAGTATTATGGTTTCTCAGAACATATTATGTAAATCTATATCACATAGAAGTAACGAGGAGCTTGTACTGATTAATGGTGCTTTAATTAAAATTGATATATCATCACCATATCCACTCACCCTGTTTCGATGAAGCTCTGATTTTTCTTATTTTCAATTATTAAAGCGATAAACCTGTATCACCTTAGTGCGAAAGAGCACCAAATTAAATATAATGTAAAGTTCCCTTCCTTTCAGAGAATTTAGCCTACCTTGCTCCAGTTGAAATAAGAAAGGTACCTGATAGAGGTGTTGAAGTAGTAGATGAAGATGTTACAACATGTGTATCTTCTATACCTAACAGAACTGGTTGGTTGAAAATAGATCTTGGATCAAGTCAGTTGGTGTACAGTATGAGACTAGTACCAGGTACAGTTATTTTCAGAATACCATCACCACTAGAGGTATTGGAAGGTAGAGTCAGTGAATTATCTGAAAGCTTGTCGACTTACAGGAGAGATTAGAGATGAAAACAAAACTTTCTTATAGATTAGATATTTCATTGTAACATGCTGTACCATGAAGGACAGCATACAATGTCCATACATTTATTCAATAATATGACGCTTCACTTAACAGTCGCTTGCTTTTAATGTTCGTCGAAGATTAACTAATTCAACCTAGTGTCCACTTAGCAGGTTGTTATACCCTCATGACAATCGTGTTCCGGTCTTTGTATAGGTTGTAGATTCTTAGACGTTTGGAAATTTGAGAAGATGAACCTTATACTTGACCAATTATTCAACTGTTCATAATGCAATGAAATATGTGTTAACATCAGCCAAGTAAATCCAGTAGAGAGTCTTAAAATCTCAAATAACATTGAAATTACAGTACTTCAGAAACATGAAACATTGCTAATAATTATTGTGTTTCAGGACCTAATACTAGTATGATCAACTGGAGAATTCATGTCACAGATGAGAATCATGATGATATATTTTGGGGTTTTCCATGTACAACATTGAAATCAGAAGAAGGAGACGTACAATGTGACCAGGCAGATGTTTATGGTCGATATGTTTCTATATTTAGCTTAGACCGTCCGGTTAATGTTTGTGATTTTCATATTTATAGTGAGTCAACTTCATGTTTTCAGCATATCGCATTTTAATTACCATCCTAATGGATCTGTATTGAACTATGATGTTTGACATTCTATTTAATGCAAAGACGAGTTTATACGATACTTAAATAAGTAATAAGGCCAATCTTTACACATATACAGTGGCGTTAAAAGGATACCTCTTAGAATTGACATAAAAAGTTTTAAACTTGGTATAAATATTCATCTATTGGACTTACCAGGTGCCATGACTTACAGAATAGAATCTCTATATAAGAGGTATATATCCATAAAACTAAATAATTATCGAAACACGCTTTTAAAAGCATGGTTCAAAATTACTAAGTTTAATGAATTATTACTAAGTTTTATGGATTTATTGGATTATAGAGGGCATCTTTTGTATAGTTATGACACTGAGTAAGTCCACTGATGAACAAAAACCTATTTCAACCAAGGTTAAAAATCTTAAGGGGTAGTATACCTGTAAGTACTGTAAATGCTGACAACATTTTGTCAAACTGTTGCTGTATGTATACAGGGCCAAATGTTTGTTTCTCGGGTGAGAAATGTCAAAATGGTGGCCAACACGTTGCCGAAAATGTGTTTACAGTACTTAAATTCCACTGAAACAAAGTACTATAAGACTATCGTCACATCCGTGGACCAGAGTTAATCAATTCCAGGACACACGAATATGCATTTTATTTTAAGTGGTGATTTTAATAGAACAGTGCCTGTCTTTTAGGAAAATAAATAATGAAATTACTTTGAGAATGATAATTATTTACCCTATTGTAGGTTGTTCAAATTATACGTATGGTAAAATTAACTGTAATGGAAGATGTTCATGTTTGAATTCTACAGAAGTTTGTCAGTCAATATTAGGTACTTGTAAATCAGGATGTCGTCCAGGTCTTACTGGTTCTGGATGTGATCAAGGTACAGAGTATGGTTTTTACCCGCTAAAACTAGTACAAATGCAGGCCCACCTTTGCCGCGGGCCAAATCTGACATCATTTGGCGGCATCGAAGAGAACCTGATCAATTAATTGCTAGATTTATCCAACTGAGCGCCCTAACGACTTATGTCAATTTTCTACGTTCTACATGATCACAATTGGTAGTAGTTGGTTGATTTTTTCACGGCGACAAATCATTAAACTAAAACGCACAAATTTAATCCCCGCATCAGACGTCCATTGAAGCCATTTTTTTTGTTATTGCAGTCTGTGTAATGTCTTATGGAAGTAGCTGTGTCCATAACTGTGGTGAATGCTATGATGGTGAATCTTGTGATAGAATTTCTGGTGTTTGTCCTGCAGGATGTGAACCTGGTTATACCGGAAGTAAATGTACAGAAGGTAGGGCAATAAGTAACAGATTTAAACTATACCTGAATTATGCTATAATGAATATTACTTCCACCAGTATATCTACACAATATGATATACAATATGGTGTTTGTTTTGGTTGCTACACTTTCTATCCATTGGTTATACAAAATTGCTATGCATCAAGCGTTCCAAAATAGTGTTAGTTGTAAGCAGATTTTATTGTATAAAAATGTTGTCAGCTTTCACAGGAAATATTCTCTCTTCCTGGACATCATAACATGGACTAAAGTTTATTTCTGTCTTTCGCAAACATTTTAGAATGCATGTCCGACGCAACCGATTCTGCCATCTGTATACCAGTTTATTTACCTTCAGGTAGTTCGTATATAAGAGCCCTCAACAGATAAAAGTAGACTAAATACAAGTGGTCTAGCAATAATGCCCTAACTGTATTTCACTTTTTGTTGTTGCCCGTCCCTCTGATGCGAAACACCATTTCACTTTATTTCATGTCCAGTTTGTTTACGAGGTTACTATGGTATCAGCTGTAGATTTCCATGTGGTCATTGTAAAAATAGTGCTATCTGTGATCATGTAACTGGTTATTGTTTGGATGGTTGTAAATCCGGATGGTTTGGAAGAAAATGTTTAAAAGGTAATAGTAATATTATGGTATATGAAATCTACACCAAAACAGTTATTCATGGTGAACTGTTTGATGATCGAATTACATCATAGTGTCTACATGAGTTTGATAGCTGTGCAATTGTAAGGGCAATGCTACAAATATATCCCAAATCGAAAATCGATGATAATACGTTACAAATTTAAAGGTTTTTAATTTAATTTTCGCTCAATCTGTGTTTCTAGCCCTTAAAAATACTAAAGCGTCTTGTCTTATCTTTACTAAATTGCCCTTCAGTATGCATCCCCCATCAATAATATCGACGAGTTAGTTTGCTTACTTGTAATTTTTAGAATGCAAGCGAGGGAGTTATGGAGAAGATTGTAAATTTACCTGTTTAAATTGTATATCGTCATTATGTAATAAAGAAACTGGTCTATGTACTATTGGTTGTATAGCTGGATGGGAAGGGGTGTTTTGTAATCAAGGTAAGATTACGCCTATGCGCAAAGTAGTAGCATTTTCCATTCGACTTAGCTGATATGTGCAAGGATAAGGCAAAATCAATTTCAAAAAGTTCATCAACCTACAACTTTAAGACAGATCTATTATATTCGTTATTTCTACCCTTTGCTATGTTCTAAATAACGCGATTAAAATATAAATTTAAAGGGTAGTCTATCTATCACTGAACCTCTTCAGTGTAAAAAGTGCATATATAATACCATACAAGGTTATGCTGGTATACTACTGAACCACTAACTTACTTGGATATATTCAGTGAAATCCCGTTTGAAAACAGTGTGATATATCACTCATCTATCTATACACTATAGGTTGTCTAAGTGGAACGTATGGTACAGGATGCCGAGAAACTTGTGGCAATTGTCGATCATTACCTTGTAGAAAAGATACCGGAAGTTGTAATAAATTTGGTTGTCAATCTGGTTTTTATGGTGATACATGCAAACATGGTAGGTTAAATATAAATAGAGTGGGCGATTGAAGTCCAATCTTAAAGGTGGGCTTAGAGTGACTAGTGATTATAATTATCGCAAAGTGCGATTGTCTAGAAGTTGATCCACATTTAACAACTGCGATCAACTATATGTATGGTCAGAAATTCCAACTACCCATTACGACTTCTAGAATTGGATTCAATTAATGTTAATAGAAAATAAAAGCCATAACTGTGATATTTCAGTCGTCGGTACGTTCAGGTCGACTAAATTCAATGATTGATTGTTCCTAGATTCTTCCAGTGACATAGATATACAAATTTTCAAGATTGGCATGGATAACACTTCATCAATATGTAATAATGTCGTGTTCATATCATTCTCTAAATATCTTATATATGATAACATTCCTTTAAATGTTGTGACCTAAATTTTTGTGTTTTGTAGAATGCCCTGCTGGTAAATACGGAGCCAATTGTAAATTTACTTGTGGTATGTGTGGCAATGGTGCAAGTTGTGATCCAAGAAATGGCAGTTGTCCATATAAATGTGATGTTGGTTGGATTGGAAACAAGTGTCAATCGGGTGAGACGGTTAGAACTGACATAAGTTTTCCGTATTGCACACTACATGACATACGTAGGTGACACCACCGACCGGTCGATATTGATTTACTTTAATGTTGTCGTTGTTTGTTGGTGAAAATCTTATTATGCGTCAGACTTTTTACTCCATAGCGAAATAGAATTATACCATCGATGCTAAACAACCAAGTAGAAATTTCAAAAATGTTGATTTTTATCTGAACAATTATCAATTTGATATTTTTAGTTTGTCCAGAGGGGATGTTTGGAGAAGCTTGTAACAGTACTTGTGGTGTCTGTAAAAGTAGAGAACCATGCGATCCCGTAACTGGTCGTTGTAAAAACGGCTGTGCCGAAGGATTCCACGGGGATAATTGCGCTGAAAGTAAGTGGTCTTTCATGGTGAAAGAGGTTTATGGTGACTAAGGTTTTGAAAATTTAAGGAGTGGTAACCAAAAACAAAATCTATCTTTAGTGTTATTGGGACTGCATTAAGTTGATCATATTTGGAGGACTTATTGTTGGCTTAATGCATAAAACATGTAATTTCTTTATTGTTTATAATCTTTTAATCAATAATATTAATGTCAAGGATTATTTTTCCAAATTGAACATTGTACCTATCATAATTTTATACTTCCGGATCGATCCTTGGATGGGTATTTCAGTTTAAGATCAGATACATACCAAAAAGCATCAGTGGCGGCGCCAGCCTCCCGAAACTGGGGATACACACAGGGGCAGACTGTCTCAATGGAGGCTGTATTCAAAATGCGATAACTATGTATAGGCGTCATAGTCGCAGGCATCTCATGTAACTTCTGAAAGGATTCTTCTAGGAAATGAATTGAATTGACTTGGTGCACTCTGACACATATTTTTTGGCATCAGTGGCGCCGTCATTTAATAGCATTGCTATAATTATAGTTCTTGTCTCTATTACAGCTGGTGGTGATACAGGAGATGTATCCAATGCTGTTATGTCAACATTTGTATCAGCTGCAGGAGCAATTGTGTTTTTATTTTTAACTTTACTTTGTGCCTGTATCGTCATAAAATGGCGTCAAGAAAAGAATTTAGAAGACTATGATCATAGAGTAAAAAGAAAACTTTTAACTGCTGCAAACGGTCATGTTTAGAGACAGAAAAAATGTAATGTGCTACAACATTTGATATACTTGATTGAGGGCTGTGAATGTGAAAGGTCTTGCAAACATTTGGTGATCAAGTGTCAGCAGTTGAGACGAGGAAATAGACGCAAAAGACAAAAAGATAGGCTATCAAGGGGAGTAACAACTTCAACCCTGTCCATGCAGTTTACCAGTTGGAAATCGTTCAGAGTTATTGGTGGTCTATGTAGTAAAATCGATTATGTGATTTGAAAAGTGTGGATACAGACTTCACGTGTGTCATAGAACATCAATATCATTTCTGTTTTCTTCTACATGATTGTAAAAGTTTAAAATACACCAGTCTCCCCATCCTTGCTTTCAACTGTATCACAACCCGACCCGCTTCGTTATAACGGTTGGAATCTGAGCAAGCAACTCCGATAGCCGACTTGCAACGTGCCAAAACGACTGGTTTGAAAAGTCCAAGATTCCTGAGACCAATTCGAATGCCTCACTTTAAAATTTGGATGTGTTTGTTTTCAGGAATGTATTTTAAATCCACCCAGACCCTACTTAGTCTCATTTTAACTAAGATTGCAGAAGACAATGGTCATCACCGCCTCGAAAAAGGTGACGGAAAAATTCCTGTCAACCGTATGTTGACTATTTTTATTGTTTTGTCTTCAGAAGAACCCGCTTGTTTGTCACATTTTGAATCTTGAGAGGTAATTGCCGCTGTGACAAAACGCTTGCTGAAAACTTGAAACACGTGTTAAGAAACTGCTGGACTACATTTTTTCAAAATATTCCAAGTCTATTTTGAAATAACCTAAAGACTTATAAGACAATGTAAATATCAGATAAGGATTCATATATAAAGGGTTAAATAAAGGTCATTTTAATCGATAAATAATCAATATCATTGTATTGATGACGTATTATTGATTATTTCAGGTGACAGAAAGGAAATTTATTATTTTCCTATATTTAATGATTTATTGATTAAGGATGGGAACCCGTCAGAATTTTGTCTCCCGTCGGCCTGATTTTATTGTATTTCAGTCACTGTTAAACAGAAAACAATTGAAACGTAAGCCTTCATGTCGAAGGGATTTTAATTTGGTATTTTAAAGAAAAAACACGTATAAAAAAAACGTAAAGAGTAATTTATGCAAAAATGTTCATTTATTTACTATTTTAGTAGGTAAAAATATGGTTTTATGTTGACTAACTATATGGAAGAAGTGTATGTATTATTAGAGTTGCTAGATAAAATCCACAAAAGAACACTAAGTAACTATCACTAGACCATCATCCTTCTCCGATTAAAGTCCTGTTACGGATTTGATCAATTGTCATTAACAAAAATATATATACCATTGGCGTAAGCTGTTGGCTACAGTAAGATAAGATATTCATTCTTTATATGGTTAATGAGGTACTTAATTTGCACTATAGATAGATCTTATCAGAACCTGAAACATGGAGTAACAACATGTTTCAGGCTATGTTATAATATTTCTATATGGCTCTACAATTGATGTATTGAGCACTATTTAAACAGTGACAACATTTTGTTTTTGTAATTGGTAATATAGATTATTATAAATTTCACGAGGTTTGCACCAAAAAAGCAGTTTTTTTTATGTTTGATAAATATAACTACCAATGTTGCTCTTACAGTCAACAATCAAACTCTCCAGTTGACCATTTTGCTTCCTTGTTACAGTCAGCGCCTGAGCCTTTCTCCAATTTTCTGAACAAATAAAGTGAATTATGTGAAAGAATTGGTTGAATTTATTTTCCACTTTAACCATCGCCTCTGAACCTTTCTATTTTCCCACTAATTCCATCTTAATGCCAAGTTAATAGAGATTTTAATATGCCTGTAGAAAGATAGAGGATTAGTCTTGAAATAAGGCTTGTCGTCTCTACTCTGATTCAATTTTTACTCTCTAACCAATGTCAACCTCTATTCTATTGGTTTAGGTGGGATGGAATGATGGTACAAACGTACTGATTCATTCTATTTTCATGGTAGTCTTCTCAGAAGGAAATCATGCATTTGATTTCAAACAACACCCAGAGGTAAAATGGTTAAGCGTATGTAGTAAATTTCCAACAGAGGGAAAAATACAACAAATAACCCTACCCTATCGAGGATAAGAACTTCGGCTCGCTAGGATACCAGATGGTTCGTGGTCAAGCTTCTTGTCATTGATGGAGTATCCCAATACAGCCGGATCGGATAACAATATTCAAGGTCATAAAATCAGGATAAGAAGCCACGATAATAAGTATTTAATGAAAAAAAAGTTTCATATCAGCATTGTAATATTTCCCAGATTACAAATTTTATACAAATTTGATATCTGGTTAATGTGTAAAGTTGAACGCCCACATGAAATTATCCTATTGATAATCAGAAAAATCGAAAATTATTTAGTATGAATTATTCCCCTTGTTCTTGAAACGCTCTAGAAGGCGCAATTTTTGATGAAACTTGGTGTGAGTGTTTATCATCCAAGGATGAACCCTATCGAAAATCAGAAAAATCGAAACATATTTAGTACGAGTTATTGCCCTTGTTCTTGAAAACACGTTCAATTTTTAGCAGGTAAACACCTCTTGTAGCCACAATTCTTGACGAATTTTGATGAAACTTGGTATAAGTGTTCGTTATCACCCAAGGATTAACCTTATCGAAAATCAGAACAATTGAAAACTAATAAGTATGAGTCATTGCCCTTGTTCTTGAAAATGCATTCAATTGTTAGCCCATAAACACTCTAGAAGGCACAATTCAATATCGCCACAAAAAGTTCAAAAGAAGTGTAATGACTGGAAGTTGAATATTTCATACTGGTAATTGTAACTTTACTGCCAAATATTTTTATTTAAAATCAAAGCTCCAGTGGGCGTATATTACATTGCCTGGCAAGCTATCTTCCATATCGTATTCAAATATCAAAATAGCCAGTATAAGTACAATAGGTTGACATTACACACCATGCAACATATAAACATCTAATCGGCAAGTTACAAACACAATACATCAAAGAGCTTTGAGCTGTGGTAACTTCTATTGGAGGCGTTTCATCTTTAATTATCAAATTTATACTGTTTTGTGATCTCTATGGAATAACATAGAATGAAAGTCATCGCATCAAGAGTTATAAGCGGTTAAGATAATGAAAAGTATAAAAAAATGATAAGGGTATCCTCCTAAAATAGCCATTTGCTATTAACAACAAATTGATGTCATTGAGTTAGTAAATGCGTTGTAGACAAAATCATCTTTGATCATCGTATAGAAAATTAAAGATCCAACCTAATGCACTAGTCCTTTACGTTGTTCAAGGCTCGGGGTACGATGTCACAATGACAAGTAAAACAATTAGAGAGCTCATACTACATTTCTCAAAATTTTAATGATCACACCAAAATGTACAAATTGCAGCATCTATTGCACTCACCACAAAATGTCTACCTTTTAACTGAGATAAGGATAACATCGAACATTTGAAACATCTCCAATTTAAGTTAACGTTCGCTTCCATCAGAAGCTGATATCACCGACATAGTTGTTGTTTGTTGGATCTTAGTCAATCTGATGGTGTGGAAATGTTGGTTGGGTAGAATGACTTGGCTGTGTAACTCGGCATTGAATTGTGACGAGTGTCTCTTATCAATTCTGGCCACACCAGTTCAGTAGATATTTACGTCTACATCAATTTATGAGATAATAGAATTCTCCTATCTATTGTCTATGCTGTGGATCCAATCTCCTAATCTTCGCTTAGAATTGAAGAACTTTTTGGCCTTGGTGTAATTGAAGGTATTATAAGAACAAGTAAAAAGATTTAGGTTTAATGGATGAGAAAAGGGGTTGGGCGGAAGTCTCTCCATCATCAACAACAATAAGATAGTAATTACTGAATAATTACATTCAATGCCTGTATAATACCGTCTTCTTACCATGGTCATTAAATGGAATTTAACCAATAAAAGAAAGAGACATTAGTTAATAGCAAACTACAAAGACATGTACATGTTACCAATTCTGATTTCAGAATGGCACAAACTATAGACTTTCAGATTTGGATCATCTCAATTAGGTCATAGATCTTGGTATCAGGATATCATAGATAAAAACGTGGAAATCAAGTGATAACATCAGTGTGACGATTTGGAAATTTAGAAAACATTCTTGTAATCTGAAATGATCAAAAGCTATAGATGTAGCTCCATTAGGAGGATTTTCATAAAGCTTGATGAAAGTTTTTCGAATTTTCATGGAAGTAGGCGTATTTGTACTCAATCCACTATTTTTACATGAAGTTTTATATGACCACGACAAAAGCTTAAAGAATTTAAAGGGAAACAAAAACATCCTCTTTTGTTCAGTTTATTGAATTATACTGCTTATTATTTCTTATCATCTGAAGAGTTCCATTTTTGTAAGGAAGATTGTCTAAGAATGATTAGAAGGACACTTGATGACAACATATATGAAAATTTTCGATTTTGTGATAACGTGGAAATCTTTTTGGGTAATCTTCTTAACGTCAAGAAGAAAAGAAAGAAATTCTGGTGATCGTATTTGTGTCAAAAGAAAAACTAATTTGATAACACAGACATAAGAATCTCTTCAGGTTGTGACATCATTATTGGGGGTTGTTACTATATTTAAAGGTAACTCAGTTCCTTGAAACAGGTAGAAAGCAGTCTAATTAAATTTAGACTCTCGTTCGGTTTTTTATTAGATTTTTTATGTAGCCACTACAGACGACACTCTTGAACATTTATCCCAATAACCTTGAGGCCTCTGCTTTGACCAAGTTGTAGTCTAATTTTAATTATATTGGGTAGAAACTGGGTACAATTGAATTTTCCACGATTACAAGCCAGTGGCATCTGGAGGAACTTGATGAATCGCCGCATAGTCAACCTTTAGTGCGTGTGTCCTTTGTGTGGTCGGTAGATGAGACCATATTTGACCACAGTTGCTGTATATCGACCAATTA